AAACACACATATTTTGTCCAGTTGGCTGAGTACTGAGTCCCCGGTAGCTAGAATAACACCTGAAAGATAGTAGGTACTCAATATAATCTATTATTAATTTAATTAATTTATTAATTTATGAACTGCACAGCATTGCCCAATTTAATTATGTTTAATTATGTTTCTGGATTCAAGCCATAAGTTATTATAGTCATCTTGTTATACTTAAACAGTAAGTTGGTTGTTGTTCTGTTTGAATAATGCTTCTCAACATGGTTTTGAGAGCTCTCATCTTCCAAGCTCCAGATCAGGTTTCAATCAGTTTATGGTAAAATAAAACACTCTGAATTCTATTCACACTTACCTTTATAAATGAAAGCTGTGGCTGCATTAACCTTTCTCTCAGCCATAGCCACCCTATTGACTCATACTGAGTTTAGAAGCAAATAAAAGTAACAAAGGGACTTAATTCCATTTTTTCCTACATATAAACATAAATCAAGAAATATTCTCAACCTGTCATGGTACCTTTAGTCTCAAGCCCTAAATGTAGAAATTTTCAACTATTTCCTATTGTAAGTTTTAGCTAGCCATTTCCACAGCTTTCTGTTAAAGGTGTGGTTCTCAACTTTTTCCATCACTGCTCCCCTAAAGAGACTTTTTAGGCATTTTTTCTTAATCACCTCTTCCAAAAAATTCTGGTATCACAGATATACTATTTATCTGTTTATGTAATTATACTGTGCTTTCAACCTAAATAGTAGTATTTCTGTCCCTTATGTAATTATACTGTGCTTTCAACCTAAATAGTAGTATTTCTGTCTCCACAACCCCTACAATCAATTTCACGTTGCTGAAATTTTATAAAGGCATATTTTAAACTTTGAAAGTAGTTTGTCAACTACTACCTTATCTTTCTAATTTTACTTCACAGGTAATTTTGTCAATAATAAAACCATTTCAAAGATCAGAGCTGTAACCCACAGAAATCAAATACAGAGTGCAAAAGCACAGGATGAAATGCTTCTCTCCCAGCTCATGCAGATCCATCAAACCTACTGCTCTGCTCAACAAGCTACAAATCCACCTAATACCCATCGCACATTTTCTCAACTTATTCAAAAGGACAGCATTTTGTTAAAATTAAATATTCTGTTGAAATCAAAAGACAGCATTCCCTTAACTAATAACCTATTTAAACTTTTCAGAATCTATTTTTAAAAGAAAACAAGATTAGCACAGAATGACTTATTTTAGTCTCTCTTAAGTCCCTCCAGATTCTGTTCAGGACCACTGCAATTCCTGACTTCACTCTTGTAAGAGTTTCCTATTTCCCTGAGCTCAAATCAGTGCATACTATTTTCTATATTATGAGCAAACTTTTTCAATGTAAATCTGATAATTCTGCTCCCTGGATATTTAAAATCTTTCCAGGGCTCCCCTAGGTCTATAAAAGCCCCAAGTCCATAGCATAACAGGCAAAGCAATACCACCCATTTCTTTTTTCTTGAGATGGAATCTTGCTCTGTCGCCCAAGCTGGAATGCAGTGGTGCAATCTTGGCTCACTGCAACTTTCGCCTCCTGGATTCAAACAATTCTCCTGCCTCCGTCTCCCGAGTATCTGGGATTACAAGCCACTATGTCCAGCTAATTTTTTTTTTTTTTTGAATTTTTAGTAGCAAGGGGTTTTCACCACATTGACCAGTGGTGGTGGCTCACGCCTGTAATCCCATCACTTTGGGACTCAAAGGCGGGTAGATTACAAGGTCAGGAGTTTGAGACTTCCCACTTATAAAAAGCTTTTGCATAATCACTTTACTCCATCTAGCAGAAAATCTCTTATAACCAAGCCTCAGCACCTGCCTGCCATCCTCACCCTACTCTATTTTCCCTTTGTCTCTTCAGATTTTAGAAGCAGTATCACCTCTTCAAAAGATATCCTATTCTCCACATGCTCCCCTGTGTCACAAGGGCACTCCTTAACCAGCTTCCTAGGCACTCTGCCTATATTTGGGGCTTACTTACTAATGCGTCTGTTTCCCCCACTCTTGGGCCATCAAAATATATGTGCAAGGAAATGCTTTAAGGATACTGGCTGCAAGCTGATCTCCCAAATTTAGAACTTGACATTGACCTTTGTTCCCCTGGCAGCAGGAATACTAAGAACCCACAGGAACTAGAAGCCCAATGAATCTTTTTTGTAATATTGAAAACATCCTGACTCCTGGTAACCACTACCTTTCTCTCTCATGCTATCAAATCACCTGTTTAAACCTACACTACAATTCTGTCAGAAAGCCACACGAAATTTTTCTATTTTTCTTTCTTTAGGAAAAAAAAACAAAATCTGTTTTCCTTTAGGGGAAAAAAAATAAAACACTGACTTACCTTCAGATTTCAGGAGTGTCAGTTCAGAATACATTACCCCAAAGTATTCTAAACTGAAGGAAACTGGAGGGTCCCCAAAAACAAGGTCACTTCCCCTGCCTTCTATGTGAAGCATAGCCATAAAGAAATTCTCTGACCCATCTTACCTGAAAATAGATCATAAGACCCTTATTCCAGAAGGGTTCTGCCCCACACCCAGTGGAAAAGTAATGCTCAACACAGAGAGGCTGAGAAGAATCTGGACAGGCCTTGCTGGGTTCCCCTCTCAATTTATTACCTAGATCATTCCCTTTTTGTGCAATCACATTACTATATGGCCATGATTCTGCATCAAATCTAAGAATAGAAACAGTTTTCCCTGGGTCTTTGGGTCTTTATTTCCAAAAGCTCTCATGTCATGTAAAACTTTGCTAAATAAAGTTGTGATGCTTTTCCTCTTGCTAACCTGCCCTTTGCTACTAGGAGTGTTGACCACAACCCTTGTGATGGGTGAGGAAAAGGTATCATCTTTTTGCCCCAGAAGACATTCTCTCACCTTCTCAGGTCTCAAAGTTTCCCAACTGGGGTTCCTCAAATTAATGGTAGAGTTTTCAGTATGCTGGGGAAGAATCCATTTCAGCCTGGAGATTCTTATTTAAGGGGGCAAGAATTTGTTTGCTTTATTCTCATCTTTCATAGTCTATTCTTCTCTGTCTGAAAAATACTTTCCTGCTATAAAAGATAGTAGGAAAAAGGAGTGAATTACTCTGAAACCCCTTTTGTTAAGATTAAACAGTAGGTTTAGCCTCTTTTTAGTTCTCATTTTGTTTTAAAGATTAAAAAATAATTTGCATACACTTTAAGAAAGCGGAACATAAATACATTTTATGACACAGCAAGTCCACTCTCAGACATACATCCAATGGGAAGGCATGCCCCATGTGCACCTCAACATGCATGCAAGAAAGGGCCTATGGAGCAGAAGTTGAAAACTGAAACTCAAATGTCCATCAACGGTAGACAGTATAAAGAGTTGGATATTGATACAATGGAAAACTATTGACTAATGAAAATGAACTACAAGAAACACATGGATAAATTTTACATGTTAGGCAAAATAAACCAGGCACAAAAGTAAACATGCTGTATGATCCCATTTCTATAAACTTCAAAACCATATAAAAACCAATCAATGGTGACAGAAGTCAAAAGAGCTGCTAGCTTTGGGGTGCAGGAGGGCTAATGATTGCAAAGGTTCAGAAGATGGCTTTTAGGGGCCTGGTAATATTCTTTGTCATGACCCTGGCCATGGTGATTACATGCGTGTATGCATTTTCTGATAATTTATCAAGCTGTACCTTTATAATTTGTGTACTTGATGTAGATTATACTTCCAAATTTTTTTTCCTGCAAGCCACAAGTCACCCTAGGTATAATCTGTCTAAAATATTTGTAGCAGTTCAGCCTATTCTTTCGTTTTCATGCTTACTATGTGCCCTTTTCTCTTTTGTATTCCACGTAAAGTCCGGCCTCCCGAGTAGAAAGATAACCTACAGAGTGAGACAAACATTTTACAAATCTGATAAGGGATCTGTACCCAGAATACATTAAGAATACGTACGACTCAACCAAAGACAAAAACTTTAACTTTAAAATGGGCAAAGAATGCGAACAGACATTCCTCCAAAGATCTATAAATGGCCAGCAAACACATAAAAAGATGCTCACCATCGTTACTCATTAAGGATATAAAACTGAGTTGTAATTTCTGTTACTTGCCTATCAACTTGGTTTAATCCTAGAGAGGCAGGGACACCCTTTGAATCTCAAGGACTGGCACAGTGCAGTGTCTACAGGAAAGCGTCAACAATTGTGTGATGACTGAGTAAGTGCATCAAAGAGTATGACTACGCACGGAGAACCAAACATCTTCCACATAGTTCCTGTCTCCCACAGAGTACCCTCTTCACCTCTGCTCAGTTACAATCCCAGCCACACATGGCCACAGTACAGTCCTTACTAAGGCTGGCAGGTGGCAAACGGGGCCAGGAAAATACCCAAGTTGACTCCTCCTGCTCTCCTCCTCCCCCAGCCCACCTGAGCTCTTAGCTTTCCCACCCCTAGCCTTCTCCACTGATACCCAGGGAAAAATGTTCAGGATGACCTTTCAAAGAAAACTACTGATGAGATGGAATTTTCCAGTGCAGTGCAGATGACACTTATTTTACAAATCCAAGAATCCACCATGATAATTCAAATGAAATATATCTTTCCATTAAGGTCCTTCAAAATCCAAGAGAAAGACACTAGAAAAACTGTAAAGTTGGCAGGCCAGGCACAGTGGCTCATGCCATCTCCCAACACTTTGGGAGACTGAAGCAGGCGGATCACTTGCTCTGGTCTGCTTAGACCAGCCTGTGCAACATGGCAAAACCCCATCTCTACCAAAAATACAAAACATTAGCTGGGCATGGTGGCACGCACCTGTGATCCCAGCTACTCAGGAAGCTGAAGTGGGAGGATCACCTGAGCCCAGGAGGCAGAAGTTGCAGTGGGCCAAGATTTCACCCGGCATTCCAACCTGAATGGAAGAGTGAGCCACGGCAAGAGTGAGACCCCATCTCTCTCTTTATATAGACATATAGAGGTACAGATAGATGTCTATCCAGATAGATAGATAGATAGATAAGATAGATAAGATAGACAGATAGACATAAATTCTTAAAAACTTGAAAAGTTGGGAGGGCTTGTAAGAAGTACTGGGTCCAACATCTATTAGACATTTACTATATGCCAGGCACTGGGCCTGCTGCCTTACAAGTGACATTTTAGAGCTCTCATTTATTGGTCCTAAACCCCAACTGTAGGAAGGTTGTTACATATATTGTCCCATTTCATCTTTATAATAACCTTGAGTTAGCATCATCATTCCCTGTTAAAAATTGAGAAAGAGGTTGGAAAATTGTCTGAGATCACTGCGTTACGGCAGAACCCAGGTCTCTGGTTCCAAAGCCTGCATGTGTCCCTGCCACTTAATATGAAACACTATGACCCTAAACAAGCAATTAAATCCATTTCCTAAATCTAAACTACAAAAATGAGAAAAATGCTTCCTTCAAATGTTTGCTATGAAAATTAAATGAAACACTGAATTCAAAAAACGTGCCAGTACCTAAGAGATCATTTTTAAAAAAATGTTTCCTCTCTTGCTTTTCCTGTTAATGAAGTTTCCCAATCTTAAACCATGGACACGCAATGGACACTGCAATGTAAAAATCATCTTGCACATTCTATCCTAGAAGGAAGACTCCATTTATTCATCTAGCACAGATTAATGCCTAAGAAAAGCATCTGGAATGCCAACTGCCACCTTACCAAGTTTTAGAATACAACACACTTTTAACTTGGAAATTACTCACAAAGAAATCTAAGATAAACACTGTTCTTGGTTTTGTTCCCCAATACTTTCTTCCTGAGAACTCCCAGACATCCCTTACCTAAGATGCTGCTTCCACATCATGGTCCCCACAACAGTAGAAACATCTGTGGGGGCCTTTTCCCCTTTTCCTCATAAAATTTCACCTTAGGCCGGGTGCAGTGGCTCATACCTGTAGTCCCTGCATTTTGGAAGGCCAAGATGGGTAGATCACAAGGTCAAGAGATCAAGAACATCCTGGCCAACATGGTGAAACCCAGTCTCTACAAAAAATACAAAAATTAGCTGGGCATGGTGGCACTGCCTGTAATCCCAGCTACTCAGGAGGCTGAGGAAGGAGAGTCACTTGAACCTGAGAGGCAGAGGTTGCAGTGAACCGATATCATGCCACTGCACTCGTCTGGGGACAGAGCAAGACTCAGTCTCAAAAAAAAAAAAAAATTCACCTTTTACTGGACAGAGCTCTGTTTTGCTTGTTTTTAGAAGTCAGTTTTTTCAAAGACAGGAAACATGAAAGTAGTAACAGTGGTTATTCTTGGGTGGCAGAATGATGGATGATGTTTTTCTTCTTCATACTTTTCTGTATTTTCCAAATTTTCCACAAAGTCTTATGGTACTTTGTGGTACTGCTTCCATAATACAAAGAGGAAAAAATCAAAGATGGTACATTTAAATTATTTCCTTCATCTCCTGATAGACATTTTTCTCTATTCTTTCTGAATTCCCAGCTAGCTGGAGGCATGCTGAGAACAGAACTGCAGCGTTATCTACAAAACACATAGCTCATCCACAGCCACTGCCTGACACAGAACAGCTCAAAAAGTATTTGTTGAGTGAATGATGAACATTAGGTAATATTTAGAAACGGACTTTGTAGATTGATGGTGGTTGGACCAAGGTTTGAGGGTGGCATGTCCTCAATATTGTTGGATTATTGTAGTTATATAACATTATTTAAAAGGTAGCTTTCAAACACTCTTAAGCAGTTCAACATGAAAAGCCTTTAATGTGAAGACAAAGTGAACCAATCAAGGTGATTGACTGCTGCAATGGTAAACCAAGAACAGGATGATAAATAGGCTAAGGTCCTTGTGCATCTTGCTATAAATGAGTGCACCAGAAGTGGAATTCATTCAATAATTTTGGGGCTCTCTGCCATTTAGAAGGTAGATCATGGCCTTGTTTGGCCACCAAAGTTCAACAATCCTTTTTAAAATTAATCTTTGTTCTTAGGAAATTAATAATCCTAAATACTACAGCAAACCAGAGATTAAGATAAAACCACCCCAACCTAGTTATTATACCACCAAAAATCCTTATCTAATAAACCAAAGCAGAAAATCTTGAGGATTTACTAACATGAAAGAGAAATCTCAAATATTTGATTTGAAGAAATGAGCTGTACATAAGGTTAAAAGAAGGTATACTAGATTCAAAAAACATACAAAGTTCAAAACTCAATAGAAAAGTTAAGGCATAAAAAAATGTACTCCTTTCCCATCATAATCTAAGTTAACTACAGGAACTTTACTAGCAATTGCATTTGTCTGATCAACTGAACATGTTTCCTAGATGTACACTTGGAAAAGCCAAGACTGAACTTATATTTTCTGTATTTTCAATTAACATCAGTTCTGTCAACATCTCTTTAAAAATCTGTGTATTTATAGGGGACTCTTATACACTGTTGGTGGGAATGTATATTAGTTCAGCCACTGTGGAAAGCAGTTTAGAGATTTCTCAAAGAGCTTAAAACAGAGCCACCATTCAACCCAGCAATCCCATTACTAGGCATAAACCCAAAAGAAAACAGGCCAGGTACGGTGGCTCATACCTTTAATCCCAGCACTTTGGGAGGCAAAGGCAGGTGGATCGCTCGAGTCCACAAGTTAGAGACCAGCCTAGGCAACAAGGCAAAACCCATCTCCACAAAAAATACAAAAATTAGCTAGGTGTGGTGGTGCACACCAACAGTCCCAGCTACTTGGGAGGCTGAGCCAGGAAAATCACTTTCACCCAAGAGAAAGAGGCTGCAGCAAGGAGAGATGGCACCACTGCACTTTAGCCTGGTCAACAGAGTGAGACCCTGTCTCCAAAAACAAAAACAAAGAAGAAAAAGAAAAGAAAAACAAATCATTCTACCAAAAAGACACGTACACTAACATGTTCCTTGCAACACTATTCACAATAGCAAAGACATGGAATCCACGTGTTCATCAACGGTGGACTGAATAATGAAAATATGGTACATATATACACCATAGAACACTATGCAGCCATAAAAAAGGATGAAATCATGTCCTGTGCAGCAAAATCAATACAGCTGGGGGCCATTATTCTAAGCAAATTAATGCAGGATAATAAAAGCAAATACCACATGTTCTCACTTAAAACTGGGAGCTAAACATTGGGTACTGATGGACATAAAAATGGCAGTGACAGATACTGGGACTGCTAGAGAGGGGAGGGAGTGAGGAAGGGATGTATTGAAAAACTAACTGTTGGGTACTATGCTCAGTACCTGGGTAACGGGACCATCAAAAGCCCAAACCTCTGCATCACGCAATATACCCAGGTAGTAAACCTGCACCTGTATCCCTGAATCTAAAACAAAAGTTGGTGGGAAAATCTGTATATTTCTAATATGCCTCCAGGCTCTTAAAAGACATGTATTTCAAAACAAAGCAGATGGTGACTTGATGACAGCCTGATAATTTTAGGGCAACTGGCGGAAGTCAATGACAAGATGACAATTGCACAACACAATCCATGCTGCAAGATGAGAAATAAAGCATTTCACCCCCAAAAATAAATGTCTCAAGCTTCCTGTCTTGCCCAAGTTGGGAAGTAACATGAAGGCGTTCTTACTAGAAAAAATGCTGCGGTTATTACAAACGTACTGAAGATTTGTATTTATTTCACCAAAACACACATATTTCATCTAGCTCTTCATAGTAAAAGCATCTGCAATCCTGGGCCTTGAACTTCCCTTGGCAGTGTCAGCCTACTGTGGAAGTTGTTCCCCACATCTCAGTAAGCTCTGTCAGCCAGAAAGGACATTCAATGACAACCACTACTTTGAATCCAGGCAAGAGAGGAAATTAAATATACTATCTATGACTTTTCCCTAGGAGTTTGAGATACTAGCACATCTTCACCTCCTGAAAGTTCACTCATCTACCACTTTTTTTTTTTTAGGACAGAGTCTTGCTCTGTCACCCAGGCTGGAGTGCAGTGGTGCAATCACACCTTACTACAACCTTCACCTCCTGGGTTCAAGCAATTCTCCTGCCTCACCCTCCCAAGTAGCTGGGACTACAGTTGTGCGCCACCATACCTGGCTAATTTTTTTGTAATTTTTTAGTAGAGATGGGTTTTTGCCATGTTGGCCAGAATAGTCTCAAACTCCTGACCTCAGGTACCACCTAGTTTTTCTTAGTAAAGCCCACAAGGAAGTGAGGGAAAGTAAAAGTAATGGTGTTAACTCCTATGCAAACCATGCCTGAGTCTCCTGGAAAAGGTAAACAGGAAAGCATCAGAAAGTTAGGTGAGTATCTAAAAGCTAGGGAAACATCCTGAAAGCTAGGGGAGCATCAGAAAGCTAGGGGAGCATCAGAAAGCTAGGGGAGCATCAGAAAGCTAGGCAAGTTATTTAGTCTGTCTTAGTTTCCTTACATCTATTAAATGTTGATAATACCTATTTCTCAGGAATTTCATGAGGATAACATGAGATGACATAAGTAAAGAACCTAACATAGAATGAATACATTGGTGTTGTTCAGCAAAATGTATTTATGACCATTATTAATCTAGGCACTAGGGCCGTCACCGTGACAGGCCAAAGTCCTACAGCAGATAAGGAAAAGAAACCACCAAATGGGCCACACACCAACTCTGTGAAATCCAGATCATCATTAAAGATACAAAAAAACAGTCTCTGACTTTCCATCTGGGCACAACATGAATGAATAATTAAAACCACATACTAAGCTATAGCAGCAAGACCAGCCTTTCATTGAAAAAACAGATGAAGATCTTTTATCATCAGTACAGCACAGTGTTTAAAACAAATTATAAGTTTAACTAACAGGGTGGTGGTCATAGCTACCTAAGTAGACAGGCTTTATGGCATTCCCAACAATAAAATACACTTTATGCACACAGCCAAAATATGACTGCAACTACTCTGGTCCTAACAGATGACTGCATCAGATAATGCCTCAACTCAGTAGCTGCTTGCAATGTATGTTAACAGAAGCAGAAATTCTGTAACAGAAACTCAATATCCTGGCTCCCACAGAGTCCTGGC